CGATAAACACAGTGAAAGGCAGTGACGATAAACACAGTGAAAGGCAGTGACGATAAACACAGTGAAAGGCAGTGACGATAAACACAGTGAAAGGCAGTGGCGATAAACACAGTGAAAGGCAGTGACGATAAACACAGTGAAAGGCAGTGACGATAAACACAGTGAAAGGCAGTGACGATAAACACAGTGAAAGGCAGTGACGATAAACTCAGGCTTCCTTACACTTGTGAGTCAGAACTGGGAAGAGACTTTTGAAGTCACTTTGACTGAATCTGCTTTTTAATCCAGTGCTCTGTGTTGGGGGGATATGCATGTATTACATTGTGGGAACCAAACACACACACAATGTGATAAAAACCTCTCTTTTTTTTGGGCCCCTCAAGGGTAAACTCAATTTCATAAAAATCTGTGACTGCAATCAAAACAACTAAAAATGGAAAAAGTCTCATATTTTGTTTGGTTACTTATGGTTAACATTAGGGCTGGGTTAGGGTTAAGGTCGTCATAATGTCGTCATTAGAGTTTCCCCATAGACATGAATGAAGAGTCCCCACAAAGATATAATTACAGACCATTTGTGTGTGTTTGTGAATGCGTCACGTCCTGTGAACGGTTCTGTGAAGCGCTCTTGGTTTGTTTATGTTCTCTCTCTGCAAGTGAAGCGGTCTCACTGGTGTCTCTGGGTGGCTTAGGGAGAACAAGAAGAGTCTGGAAAACATCCGGTGGTTTGGCCGACATTAAAAACAAGACAGAGACATTTTGTCAGTCAAAATGTCTTATGAAAAAAGACCCCTGTGGAATCTGTAGGAGGAAATTCTTCATCAGCGCTCTGCTGCTCACATTGACCTGCCATCATGAACCAGATCATGACTCCACCCACATTTCACCCAGCCAATCAGCTGCCAGAAGGCTGGCCACTCACCACTGTCAACCAGGAAGTGACTCCCCGTAGATTTCCAGTGGTCAGCTGAGGAATTCCCATGTTATATGAAACACCCCCCACCCTCTAGCACAGATCCTCACGGCTCACACTCTCATGCCATCATATCAACCAAATTCCCATAGTGTGAATGACGCAGTTGGGATTTTCCCATGACTAAGTGTCCATCGAGATTGTCAGCAAGTGCTAGGACGAGTCACAGCTTCTCTTCAGCTCCTGTCTGTGAGATCTCCAATGGCTCTTCGTCGACGAGGATGTTGCTCTGGGTCCCAGCGTAATTTTCAGTCCCTGCAAGTAGATGGCGGGACTAATCAGCCCAGGTACCTTGGCCGCCTGCCCTGGGTGGTCTGTCTGATGCCTGGGAGCGGTTGGGCACCAGGGGTGACTGTTATATTGCAGCTCCATGGGATGCTTAGTTGTCCTGCATACTGGGCGATAGTTTGCTGCATGTGTCAGAAGGATGTGGGGTTTCAAGAACTCTGGGACAGGATAAGACTAAAAAATCAACCAAAACACAAGCTGTCAGGCTCAAGGAGAATCTTTCATTGAAACCTTTGAGGGCATATGCTGTGGGCTTAGCAGTTTGGGTTGAAGGATAGAGTCTGAGTTGTAGCGAAGATGGTAGCTATTGATGCTGTTTCCTACACAAAAGAGCCAATGACTGAGTGTTTGTCACTGGACCACCTGAACTTTGAGATGTTTGAAACCCCAAGACAGATCCTTAGGCCAGTGAGGAAGAAGGGCATCTTTGGCAGGGCAAAAAGTCCCCTGTGAATCCTCACTCGATTGCTCTTATTTTGTGTTTCTGAACTGGTAAGCTTTTCCAAACTCTTTTATTTGTTACTTAGGATTCATTTTATCAACCATTGTCCAACCCCCCCCACCCCCCGGAATTCTTTAATTTAGAGGCTGGCCTCTAAACAGAGATAGTGAGGGGAAGAGAGAGCTGTGAATGCTGGCCGGAATCGGTGAAATGAAACAGATGCCGATCTGTAAACGAGTTTCTGCTGTTCGGTTATACTTTCGTGTCTTGGCTCTGCAGGAATGTTTACATTTTTAATAGACGGAAAAGACTCTTTTGTATACAAGAAACCGCTACAGTTTGGAGGACAGTAACTCTCAGCCCTTTTACTCCCGTTGCCGTCTTTCAGGGTCAGATCAGAGATTGCAGAGCGTAAACTCTGGCCATTGTAACTTTTACGATGACACTCCTCTGACAAACCGCGGTCCGCTCAAAGCCCCGAAAAGCCGTTTATTTGCAATCCCGTGATTGTGCTGTGCTGTGTTGGAGTCCTCCTTTTATGGCGTGCTGTAGATAGAATCACATCTACTGTCCTGTTTATGATTTCATAGGTTTTTATATAGCTGTATTGTGGGAACAGCATGACTTGGAAGGTCCCTTTTATGTGGATTTTGCCAGCTCTCGTCTGACAGCTTTTATGTCTGTTTTTATGGCTTCCAGAGTCAAAACCCCGAGAACAAACAGACAGTTAATGTGCTGTGAATCCTACCTTGAGCTCTGCTCTTTCTCTCTTTCCTCTCCCTTTTCCATCTCTTTTTGTCCCTGTCATTCTCTTTTCTCTTTCTTGTTGTCCCTGACTTTCTCTCTCTCGCTCTCTCTCTCTTTGTCCCTGTCTCTCTCTCTTTTTGTCCCTGTCATTCTCTTTTCTCTTTCTTGTTGTCCCTGACTTTCTCTCTCTCGCTCTCTCTCTCTTTGTCCCTGTCTCTCTCTCTTTTTGTCCCTGTCATTCTCTTTGTTTCTCTCTCTATCCCACTTTCTGTGCCAGTTGTCAGGTTACTTTCTGTGCCAGTATCTGGTGGATTACTTGTTGGTCTCACATCCTCCCAGAACATGAGGTCAGAACCGGGCCGTCCTTCCAAAATCCAAGGCTGCGATTACCTCTTATAATTATAATGAGTTCTGCCTCTTTGATTTGCACCCTGACATGCAGTGATCCCAACAGGAAGTGACCTCGGACTCTTGTCATTGGCAGGAGTGTACACCATGAGTGTTTATGAACACCCAGAATGCAGTGAACGTACTTGTGTTCTCGGCACGAGCGTTGTTGCTAGCTTGGGATGCAAGGGATCATGGGATTGTTCTTGTTGGTGAGGATGCAGCCAATGCATCCTTCATATTTGGGGCAGGGCAAGAACGACACCCTGGGATTGTTACCATCCTCCGTACTTCTGCTCTTGAGTATTGGAGCTGTACTGGAGGATGACATCAAACAGGTACACGAGAACACAACGGTCAATTACACATATTAATAAACACCCTATCATTATAAACACATTTCTATCTGGGAAGTTACTGTACTTAAACAATCCCTGGGATTCTATCCTGATGATTTATTTGTATGTTTATAATCTTGGAGTTTCATCATCTGCATCTCTAACCATTGAACCACCTGACCTGAAGTTTAAATCAAGTTGACCCGTATATTAACCAGTGCTCAAAATGATTCTGCCGCAGTTTGGAAATGGTCACTGGACCTGGCCCGCTTCCCTCTCTCCCAAACAGAGACCATGATGTCAGCAAGATCAACTACATGTACGCCCAGTACGTGAGGAACACCATGGAGCCGCTGAACATCAGAGATGTCACCAAAGACAGGCGCTTCCCCTGGACGGTAAGCGTGGGAGCGCGTGGCCATGCCCGGTCTGGCACGTCCCGCTGCGCCCGTTCGCTGCTGACACGCCTCCCCTGCTTCTCTCCTTCTCACGGTAGAGTGAGAGCGTGGAACATTCCAGTGTGTCCTTCAAGAGCCTGCTTGGTACACCCATCAAAAACGGGAAGAAGGACAAAGTGATAGGTACCCTTTGATGGGGCTTTTCGATGTTTGGGGTGTCGAGGAGGTGATGCTGACATTTCCGTAATCACTAGGAGGATGAAATGGACCTTTCCATTTATGAGGGAAGTTACCGGAAAAGGGCACTGATTATGGCTGTAAACACGGCTCTAACTCCCTCTATACATGAGAACCGTCTGACCCTGAGACATCCATCCCCTTTGATTCGATTTTCTCAAGGTCATCAGAATGCTGGAGCTTTGTGACTCATCCATTAAATAAATAACAGTGTATCAGGGAGTGACACGGCATCTGAATGCAGAGTGCTGTTATGCACGCTGGGCGAGCAGGGCCGCTCGCTCGCCTCGCCTCACCTCGCCTCGCCTCATTAACGAGGCCTCACTTTGCCCCTCATTTAAAGCTTTACAGGCCCATGCATAATGAATGACCCAGCAGCACAAACAGGCCCTCACTCTCTACACACACTCATACCTTCCTGTCGGCCGTCTCGACGGCCGTGACCTCCTCATGAACCTCGCATCATTTTTTTCTCTCCGCCGCTTGGAGGTGTCTGCCAGCTGGTGAACAAGATGGACGACGCATCGGGAAAGGTGAAAGCCTTCAACAGGAACGACGAGCAGTTCCTGGAGGCCTTCGCCGTCTTCTGCGGCCTGGGCATCCAGAACACCCAGATGTACGAAACCGTGGAGCGTGCCATGGTGAAACAGGAAGTCACGCTGGAGGTAAGAGGAAGGAGCCGTTGTGGACGTAGGGCATCTATTTCACACATATAACATTGTTTATTCCATAATACACATGCATAACAGTGTGACCCACAAAATATTCATGCAGTTTTGCAAATGGAAAAGCTTTTGTTGACGTAGTTTTGTCACTAGACGTCTTCCATAGTACAAATTGGTCTTCCATTTTTTTTTGTATCATAGCATATCCCATAATGCACAGCAGCTCCCTGCAGTGGAACCCACCTCTCTGTGGCCCCAGCCTTATGTCCCATTGACTTTGTCCCCCCACCACAGCTGTCCCTGTGTCCCTACAGTTAATAGGGCTGCCCCCCCCCCTCCCCACTACCCTCACTACAGCTACTGACCTGATTAATGTGAACACACACATACACTTGTTGTTTTCCTGTTCTGTTCATCCTGATCACTAAAGAAGGGCCAGTGCTCACCAGCTGCAGAAATCATATGGACAATAAGTTTGTTCTAGAATATTCCTTTCTATGTCATGGAGATTCTCATTTACCTGTTTACACACATGACCATGCGTGATAAGTGGTGGATTTATTGGTTTAATGTGTTTTTTCCTTTTCACATGCAAATGTGCATCGCCGGTAACTGAATACATGCCCGTGTGTGTGTCTGCGTGTGTGTGTCTGCGTGTGTGTGTGCGTGTGTGTGCGTGTGTGTGCTTGTGTCTGCGTGTGTGTGCGTGTGTCTGCGTGTGTGTGCGTGTGTGTCTGCGTGTGTGTGTCTGCGTGTGTGTGTGCGTGTGTCTGCGTGTGTGTGTCTGCGTGTGTGTGTGCGTGTGTCT